GCTACACTAGAAAACAAATTTGGAAAAAATTTAGAAAAATTAAATTTGCGAGATAATCGTTCCGGAATACCGCCAAAGTCATTAGAAGAAAGTTCTGAACAAAAAATGTATGGCGCACGTTTTGATTGGTCCAGCGGATGCTGACCTACACTAGAAAACAAATTTGGAAAAAATTTAGAAAAATTAAATTTGCGAGATAATCGCTCCGGAATACCGCCAAAGTCATTAGAAGAAAGTTCTGAACAAAAAATGTATAACGCACTTTTTGATTGGTCCAGCGGATGCTGAGCTACACTCAAATAAATTTAGGAAAAAATTTCGAAAAATTAAATTTTCGAGATAATCGTTCAGGAATACCGCCAAAGTCTTTAGTAAATAGTAGCGAACAAAAAATGTATGGCGCACTTTTTGATTGGTCCAGCGGATGCTGAGCTACACACAAAAACATTTGGGAAAAATTTTCGAAAAATAAAATATGAGAGATATTCCTTCCGGAATACCGCCAATAAAATAGGGAAAAAGTTGCGAACAAAAAATGTATGGCGCACTTTTTGATTGGTCCAGCGGATGCTGAGCTACACTCAAATAAATTTAGGAAAAAATTTCGAAAAATTAAATTTTCGAGATAATCGCTCCGGAATACCGCCAAAGTCATTAGAAGAAAGTTCCGAACAAAAAATGTATAACGCACTTTTTGATTGGTCCAGCGGATGCTGAGCTACACTCAAATAAATTTAGGAAAAAATTTCGAAAAATTAAATTTTAGAGATAATCGTTCAGGAATACCGCCAAGGCCTTTAGTAAATAGTAACGAACAAAAAATGTATGGCGCACTTTTTGATTGGTCCAGCGGATGCTGAGCTACACTAGAAAACAAATTTGGAAAAAATTTAGAAAAATTAAATTTGCGAGATAATCGCTTCGGAATACCGCCAAAGTCATTAGAAGAAAGTTCTGAACAAAAAATGTATGGCGCACTTTTTGATTGGTCCAGCGGATGCTAAGCTACACTCAAATAAATTTAGGAAAAAATTTCGAAAAATTAAATTTTCGAGATAATTGCTCCGGAATACCGCCAAAGTCATTAGATGAAAGTTCTGAACAAAAAATGTATGGCGCACGTTTTGATTGGTCCAGCGGATGCTGACCTACACTAGAAAACAAATTTGGAAAAAATTAAGAAAAATTAAATTTGCGAGATAATCGCTCCGGAATACCGCCAAAGCCTTTAGTAAATAGTAGCGAACAAAAAATGTATGGCGCACTTTTTGATTGGTCCAGCGGATGCTGAGCTACACTCAAATAAATTTAGGAAAAAATTTCGAAAAATTAAATTTTCGAGATAATCGCTCCGGAATACCGCCAAAGTCATTAGATGAAAGTTCTGAACAAAAAATGTATGGCGCACGTTTTGATTGGTCCAGCGGATGCTGACCTACACTAGAAAACAAATTTGGAAAAAATTAAGAAAAATTAAATTTGCGAGATAATCGCTCCGGAATACCGCCAAAGTCATTAGAAGAAAGTTCTGAACAAAAAATGTATGCGGCACTTTTTGATTGGTCCAGCGGATGCTGAGCTACACTCAAATAAATTTAGGAAAAAATTTCGAAAAATTAAATTTTAGAGATAATTGTTCAGGAATACCGCCAAAGCCTTTAGTAAATAGTAGCGAACAAAAAATGTATGGCGCACTTTTTGATTGGTCCAGCGGATGCTGAGCTACACTCAAATAAATTTAGGAAAAAATTTCGAAAAATTAAATTTTAGAGATAATCGTTCAGGAATACCGCCAAGGCCTTTAGTAAATAGTAACGAACAAAAAATGTATGGCGCACTTTTTGATTGGTCCAGCGGATGCTGAGCTACACTCAAATAAATTTAGGAAAAAATTTCGAAAAATTAAATTTTAGAGATAATCGTTCAGGAATACCGCCAAGGCCTTTAGTAAATAGTAACGAACAAAAAATGTATGGCGCACTTTTTGATTGGTCTAGCGGATGCTGAGCTACACTAGAAAACAAATTTGGAAAAAATTTAGAAAAATTAAATTTGCGAGATAATCGCTCCGGAATACCGCCAAAGTCATTAGAAGAAAGTTCTGAACAAAAAATATATGGCGCACTTTTTGATTGGTCCAGCGGATGCTGAGCTACACACAAAAACATTTGGGTAAAATTTTCGAAAAATAAAATATGAGAGATATTCCTTCCGGAATACCGCCAATAAAATAGGAAAAAAGTTTTGAACAAAAAATGTATGGCGCACTTTTTGATTGGTCCAGCGGATGCTGAGCTACACTAGAAAACAAATTTGGAAAAAATTTAGAAAAATTAAATTTGCGAGATAATCGCTCCGCAATACCGCCAAAGTCATTAGAAGAAAGTTTCAATCAAAAAATGTATGGCGCACTTTTAGATTGGTCCAGCGGATGCTGAGCTACACACAAAAACATTTGGGAAAAATTTTTGAAAAATAAAATATGAGAGATATTCCTTCCGGAATACCGCCAATAAAATAGGAAAAAAGTTTCGAACAAAAAATGTATGGCGCACTTTTTGATTGTTCCAGCGGATGCTGAGCTACACTCAAATAAATTTAGGAAAAAATTTCGAAAAATTAAATTTTAGATATAATCGTTCAGGAATACCGCCAAAGTCTTTAGTAAATAGTAGCGAACAAAAAATGTATGGCGCACTTTTTGATTGGTCCAGCGGATGCTGAGCTACACTCAAATAAATTTAGGAAAAAATTTCGAAAAATTAAATTTGCGAGATAATCGCTCCGGAATACCGCCAAAGTCATTAGAAGAAAGTTCTGAACAAAAAATGTATGGCGCACTTTTTGATTGGTCCAGCGGATGCTGAGCTACACACAAAAACATTTGGGAAAAATTTTCGAAAAATAAAATATGAGAGATATTCCTTCCGGAATACCGACAATAAAATAGGGAAACAGTTTCGAACAAAAAATGTATGGCGCACTTTTTGATTGGTCCAGCGGATGCTGAGCTACACTAGAAAACAAATTTGGAAAAAATTTAGAAAAATTAAATTTGCGAGATAATCGCTCCGGAATACCGCCAAAGTCATTAGAAGAAAGTTCTGAACAAAAAATATATGGCGCACTTTTTGATTGGTCCAGCGGATGCTGAGCTACACACAAATAAATTTAGGAAAAAATTTCGAAAAATTAAATTTTAGAGATAATCGTTCAGGAATACCGCCAAGGCCTTTAGTAAATAGTAACGAACAAAAAATGTATGGCGCACTTTTTGATTGGTCCAGCGGATGCTGAGCTACACTCAAATAAATTTAAGAAAAAATTTAGAAAAATTAAATTTTAGAGATAATCGCTCAGGAATACCACCAAAAAAATAGTCAAAAAGTTCTGAACAAAAAATGTATGGCGCACTTTTAGATTGGTCCAGCGGATGCTGAGCGGAAAAGAATTTCTCGAAAATTTAGTTTTTTGAATTTTTTTCTCATATTTGTTTGAAGGTAGCTCAGCATCCGCTGGACCAGTCAAGAATTGCGCAATAGATTTTTTGTTCGATACCTTTTTGTAAAGACTTTGTCGTTATTGCCGAACAGTTATCTCGAAAATTTAATTTTTTGAAAATTTTTCATAAGTTTATTTGAGTGTAGCTCAGCATCCGCTGGACCAATCAAAAAGTGCGCCTGACATTTTTTGTTTGAGACTCCCGTGTTTAGACATTGGTGATATTTCCAAACGATTGTCTCGCAGATTTAATTTTTCGAAAATTTTTATTACCTTTTTTTGAATGTAACTCATCATCCGTTGGACAAATCAAAAAGTTCGCCATACATTTTTTGTTCTAAACTTTTTGTCTATTTCAATATTGGTGCTCCTGTACAATTAGCTCTCAAATTTAATTTTTTTTAATTTTGTCTAAACTTTATTTGGATCTAGCTCAGGATCTGCTTGTCCAATCATAAAGTACGCCGCATACATGGAGAGAAAAATTAAGTTGCAACAACCGGAGACTCCTGTTGAAACTACTTGACCGACGCAGGCGTGAACGCAAGTACCGATACACAAGTCAGTACAATTTGGTAGCCAGTCAGTTTTGTCCTGGCTGTCTCAAGTAGTATCATTTGAGCAGGGAAATGCTTGGTCGGTATCTCCTGAGAACACCAATAGCTGCAATTAAAGACCCAAGTCAAAACAGCCTGGCTCCCTAGTTATAACTACTTGATTTTATAAGATCAACATGACGACTTAAAAGAAAGCAGTTGGAACTTTTTTTTTCTCTGCATGTACATTTTTTGAAGCTAACTTCCGGGTTAAGACTTTGGCACTATTCCCGGAGCGTTTAATTAGGAATTTTAAAAAATCACAAATTTCATTTTGACCTAGCTCAGCATCCGCTGGAGCAATTAAAAAGTGCAAAATATTTTACAGTTTGAGCGAAAATTTTGTAAAGAGCTATTAATTCTCGTATTAATTACGAAAAAGAATTCGTTGCTGCAATGTATATTTTTTTATGAATAAATTTTTGGACAAAATATTATACCTACTCTCGTATATGTCCGAGCATATGTCAACGTAAGGTCATACTATTTTTAAGTTCTACACAAAATTTTAGTCTAATCTATCAAACATTTTGCGAAAAATCCTGCGGAGAATATTTAGGTACATGTTAACTCTTTGAGGACCAAATTATTTCTTAAAAAATGGCGATTTTTGATTTTTAAACAAGTTTTTCAGCGAAACTAATTAAGGTTTTTTTCCTCAAAACCAGAGTTTAGAATTGGAAATTTTTTAGACTAAATGAAAAACATTGTTCTAATATTTAGTTTTAAATATCAAGGAACTTATGCTTAAAATATCAAAAAAATGTTTATGTTGCCTGAAAGCAAAAATTGTCCTCAAAGATTTAAATCATAAAAATCACATGACCTTAAATCTTAATGTTTTAAATATTCGCATTATTTTGTAAATTTTGAATTCGTATACTTTTTTGGAAGATTACTGACACGTGGAAATGAGAGTTTGAGTAACTGGATGACTTGATTTCACAGGTCTATGTTTAATTGCAGTTACGGGATTGGAGTATTGAATTATTTCATCGTCTTGAAGAATAGCAACGTTCTCTCCAGATTTGAAACTAAATAATCTGATAGCACCATTCACAAGTCCTATAGCCAACAATTGATGGTTTTCAGTATAAGCGATGCATAGTATCTCCTTTGTTTCTGGTCTAAAAATTCGATTTTAAAATTAATAATTAAAAATGTTCCACAGTTGCACTTTTTAAAAATGACTGAAACTATTCATATTCCTGATTAATTTAAAAACAATTGTTTTCGCAAATCGAATAATTATTACAAAATCCAAAAAAATATTAGGTATCCTGAATTTTTCAACTTTCATTTCTGTCCAAGAATTTGAAAATTTATTCATCAACACAACGAGTAAAATTCAAAGACACTGGGCATATTTTATTAATTTATTATAATTTCTTGGGCGAAAATGAAAGAATAAAAATTTAGGATATACCTGTCATTTTTAAAATTTTGCTAATTAATAATTAAAAAATAAATTAAAAATATGTTAATATTACATTTCATGTAATATCCGAATTTCTCCATCCACTATTAATCCTTCATTTTCTTCAGATTTTTGTTCCTTCTCTTCTGCAGTACTAGCGTTTTGTAAATGAGCAAATGATTTTTTAAGATTTGAACTGATTCGTGGTTTATTGATTTCATTTACAATTATCTCGACATTTTCATTGCTTTCTGTACTTTGAATTTCTTCTTCCATATTTTTAATTTTTTTTATAGGTTATTCGTATAACCGAATAGATTTTCAAAGGTTTTTGTGCAAATAAAAAAAGAATTGAATTGCATATTTTGTAGGAAAAACTTTAAAAGAATTCGATTACAATAACTTGCATTGATTTAGTTTTAGACGTTTTAGTAGATAGGAGTTAGCTTTTTTGAAAAATACATTTTAAAATTCAAGAATGATAAACTTACAATGAGTTTCAATATAAAAACTTGTCTTTGCGATTATTTTCATTATGATTAAAAAAATACTTGGAAATTTATTTCATGTTAATATTGTGTTATTATATTATAAACTTATGAATTAAGGTTATAAATTTTTCCATAGAAATTTATCTCCATTCGAAACATGTCAATTGAGTTATGTAAATATTGATTTTCTTTTTGTTTTAAACACAAGTACAAAATTCAATGAGGTTTTCATTATAATTCCTATAAGTTTCATCGATTATTGAGAAATTTTGTTTTAGTTCAAAGAAAAACGCAAAGATGTCTCTACTTTGTCCATTTGAATGCAATATATTATTCGTATTTTATGAACATTTTAAATTTTTAATTAAAACAATTTTAAATACTTAAATTTTTTTATTTACTAATTGTTTAAGAAAATTTTGTACATTTATTACCTAGAAGCTTTTTTTAAAATCAAAATTTTGACTATTATTCAAATAATTTATTTTTGTTTGAAGTTCAAATCATTACAAATTAAATTTGTTAATATATTAACATATCTTGATATTTAAAATTTATTTTTATCATAAATCTACACAAATTAAAAGCAGGTTTTTAATTTAAAAAAAAAAATTTTATTTTAGTTTTAAATTTTATTTCAACATTTTATTTTGAATTCTGCTTTTTCTCTCTTGAAAAAAGTCTTTGAAATTCAATTCTGAATAATAAAATAAAAAAAAAAAGAATGTGATAAAAAGTAAAGATTCAGTCAATGATAGAAGTGGAAAAAGCGAAAGACGACTTTGGCTCCATAATAATTATCAGATTTGGAATTTTGATCATTAAGATATAAGATGTTTTTCCTGAGTTCGAGGAGCAATTAAAATCTGAAGAAAAAGAAATTAAAGTCCACTTCTTGTAGTCGTTAAGGAAGTTGGAAGAGTGTCGGAAAGAGGCTGCTTGCGCGAAGTCACTGCCGTAAATCAATGAAAATACAATTTCACGGACTCCAACGATCGCGACGTGGCTGCTCACGATCGATCGACCCTCGTCTTTAATTAATTGAATCTCTCGCCAGCAATAAGATAAGAACGAAATTCGAGAGAGCAAAACGGAAATATCAAGCGCCCAATATATGTCAATTATAAACTTTTTTTTTTACAGTGTGCGGTCACAATATTTTTCTTTTTTATGCAAATAATTAATTTATAGTTTATATACATGTAATTAATGAAATAAAAAAAAAATTAATTGTTAATTACTGTATATTTGTTAGCAGACTTTGTCTTTGATACACATAACCTTACCAAATACATTATATTTGTTATATAACCTCAAATTTAAATACCTCAAAATTTATATTTTATCACGAATTTAGAGAATCTATCAATGCAATTGAATTAAATATATAACAAAATTAATTATCAACACACATTTTAATTTTATTATATGTCAACAAGCGTTTTCCATGTTTAAAATATGAATAAAATTGATGAAAGTGGAAAGAAATTTTCTTCCTTATGAGTAACATTGTGTCGTCTGTTTGCTGTCCCTCCAGGCCTCTGACGTCATATCTTGAACTCGAAATATCTCGATGAACTGACACAGCTTAATTAGATATTGGGATCGGCTAAACTGCAATACGCCATCTGGTGGGGACCCATTCTCTCCCTCCATTTTCTTTCTTTGTCTCTCTTCAATTAATAGGTTAGAAAGAGTAGAAAAAACAAAATGGAGGGAGAGAATGGGTCAAAGTTATTAGATTGTTACTAGACCACCGTTCCCAATTATCATCTTGCTCTTGTGCTTGTTATTTATTCAGTTTAAAATAAATCGAGCTCGAGGTGAATGAACAGTTTTTAAGGCGTTTGTATACCTCATCGATCACGAGTATACTTGCATCGTGTACCATTGGTCGTTTTATGGTAACGTATAAGAATGAGAGAGAAAAAAAGCATTCTTTATTTCTTTCACTCTTATACATTACCATGACGACCCTGCTTAAACAGTTGAGCTGTGGTCGTACCCTAAGGATCCAGCAAAATACGTGTTCGTTGGCGTAAAAAATTTTAAAAAGTGAAGAGTAATTCCGTAGGAAACGATCACAAGGATTTCGGATGATTTTATCATAGTATAAAGGCCTTTCTCCAGTACATTTCTAAATGTTTGCGTTGCGTGACTGCCGCGTTGATTCGCAAGCGCATTTTTAATGCAAATGTTTCTCGACGGCTTTTAATAATTTTAATTATTAATTATTTATAATTAAAAAAACCAGTTTCTTAAAAACATAAACCAATCATTTTGTTCGCGATTTGTGTCAATGCTTTGATGACGTCACTGCGCTTGCGAACCAACGCATCAGTCACGCAAGGCAAACATTTAGGAACATATTAGAGAAAAGACTTAATTAGAAAAAGTTTTTGTTAACAGTTTTTGAAAAAGGAATAACTGTGCGTGTAAATCCTGAGCAGAGATGGGTAAAAGTGCTTTTCTGGAGGTATTATACGTATAATACTGTAGAAAAACCAGGTTTTCGACATTGTAGCCGCATCAATGGCAACATAACCTCTTTTTGTTATTTACCTTCAGGTTTATTGTTGGTAAATAAGTATTAATTAATAAATAAAAAATATTTAAATATTGGTCAATTGACAACTTTCAGTTGAGTTATAAATAATATTATCTTATTTGCAATAATTTCGTAAAAAAAATTTAACATTTTAAATGTGCTTCCGTTTTCAATTTAGAAGAGAAATACTAATATAATTTAAATTTTATCAAAGCATTGATAATTAATTTTTGCCAATATCAGAACTTTTGAAAATTGGAAATTCGAAACAAGCAGATTTAGGGTACGGTCACACGACTTTTGGAAAAACCATTCTTGTCTTTCTCTCTCCTCTAAGACAGACGCATAAGTTTGTCTCACTCTGCATTTTCCGTCTTTGAGAAATGTAAGAAAATGCAGAGTGAGACAATCTTATGCCTCCGTCTTAGGAGAGAGAAAGACAAGAATGGTTTTTCCAAAAGTCGTGTGACCGTACCTTTAGAATTATGTTTCTCAAAATTAGCCTTATGTATAATACACATGTAGAAAACTCATGTATAATACGTGTATATTACACGTAAAATACCTTGTATTATACTCGAGGTTTCCTACTTACTCATCTCTGCTCCTGTGTACACTCGTGGCCAGATAGGTCTACACTTTTTTATCCTTTTTTAACACACGTGTTGTCATGGCAACATATGAGTTAGAAGAGGACAAAAAAGTGTAGTCATATCTGGCCACGAGTGTACCAGTGTCCAGGAATATAGGGGTTTACTACTTTGCGACAGTTTGTTAGGACGTTTCCGAATTGAATTTTGTTACATTTACCAATCCCTGGTGATAATATTAAATATATAATGAAAAGAAGTGTATTCAATTTTCTCAATATGTTTTGAAAATGTTCGCGTACCTCTTGATAAAATTCGATTTATAAGTATAGATAATGCAATTTAACAGGAGAATATTATATAGGATAATTTTATATTCAGGGTAATTTCACTTAAGTGTATAGATAATTGCACGAGAAGGGATGGGATTACGAGAGAGAGAGAGAGAGAGAGAGAGAAATAATAGCTTTGAAGCTAAGCAAAGGAAAGTGAAACGAATTTGAACCTTGATTTTTCTTTTTTTACTGCAAGGGAGAGAGATGAGAGACTATCCACTTTGTTCGGCTCTTTTGCTTTCAATATCTTGCCTCGAATTCCCTCCCTTAAGTTCCTCGGTCGTCCAAGGGGACTTGTTTTCAATCTTTTCTCCTCTCTCATTTTGCTCGGATATTATACGATTGGCCCCAAGTGTTCTTCGACGAGGCCGCTGCGGGATGCCACCAGTCAGCATTCTGCATCAACCCCAACTTACATTCAACTCTTTTTCTGTCTCTCTTCTTCATTCGTTTCAAGTCATACGACACGGCCTTCAGCATTTCCGCAATGCTGATATCTTTCATATCAGATCACTTCGAGTCGCGCCGTGTACACACCAACACCTTCTGCTTTCGATGCTGCTGTCTACTCAAAATATATATCCTCAGATATATATACATATATAGTCTCCAACCCGGTGAATAACATCCAAACTTCTTCTGTAAAAAGATATTATTAAATTCATGTTTCTCATTCAAAATTGAGTGTGTCCTGGGAGGATGGATTTATTTGTTGGTTGCTGTATAGATCATAACAATTCAACTTTTTACAAATACGAAAATTTAACCGTTATTCATTTTTTACTGTCTTAAGTTCTATAGAAAATTTAATGTAGGGCTCTGATTAGGACCTCGCTAATTTTCCAAATTTAAAAAATCTATTTTGCTCTGACCAGGAATGTATACACCATATACGCTATATGAACAAGTACAATTATTATAGAAGTGTCACGACCTTTCAAAATGCCGTTAAACCGGAAGGGTCGTGCAGCATATATGCCTGCAGTTGAGTATATATAGTAATGGAATATTTTTAACACAAAACTCCTACAATAAAAGTTTAATTTGTGCAATAACTTTAAAGGTCTGCCTAGAGTATTTTTCGACTATTTTTTTTCTTTCATTCATCTTCATATCTAAAAGAGAAGTTGCGGACTCGCGTATACGTACGGAACATTAAATTCAAAGGTGGCTATGAATCCTATTATATACGAATGCAAACCATAAAATTTTTCAAACACCACTATAGAGAACGATAAGAAAAGTTTGTCCTTCTTTGCCAAATATATATATGTGCCCTCTCCAAATACGTATGGATTCCCTTATATACTATATAAATGTCCGACCTGTTCACATGCAAGCTTCCTTCTTTTGAAGGGAAATCGGTAGTAGAACACAACACGAGTACTTTATCTCGCGTCAGTGTTTTGCTTCTATTTGCCTTCCTGTTATTTGTTATAGCACGCGGGTTCTACCCGCGTAATGAAATATAGGAAACACCGAACGGCCGGTCGAGTGAACGAGCCAAAACGACCATTGCTATACTACTATATATACACCATCATCAAGCAGCAGCAACACAGGCAGCATTCACCCCGTCGTTTCCCATCCCTTTCGCTTGCACCTCCTCGGTTGTGCTTCGCTGGTGATTCATAACACGATCCTATCCGCTAGGAAATATTGCGATTCCACGCCACCGCGTTAACAATGCTGCCGGCGCGTCTCTTCTGTGCCCTTTTTTTTGTTATTCTTTTCAAACAGAGATTTGAACCGTACATCCTTTTCACGAGCGACCTTAATGAACTATACTGTGCGATATTGGTCGATTTTCAGAGTTTACATATATTACATTTTCAAGAAATTTTTTAAATAAATTGAATTTCAATTTAGTTCAATTTAAGCCAACACACAATAGATTCTTAAACAAGAAATGCTGTCGTAAAAATGAGTGGGAGTTTACACGATTGTGTTTCTATTTACGTTCCCGATTAAAGCTGTCTCTACATCGCAAAGTTAACGCAAAACGCACAAAGGATCTCTTCAGATCTGTTGATTTCAACCAATCAGGCGATTGCAGGGGATTTCTCAATCGCCTGATTGATTGAAATCTATTCTGCTAATCTGCACCATGTGATTGTACCCTTAGTGCATTTTGTGTCTTGCGTTATCTTTACAGTGTAAACCATCTTTAATTGTGCATTGAAAAAAGGTTGTAGGAACTTCCATCACCCGTATCCGACTTGCGTATATCCGATTCAGTTGTGCTTAGGCCTTAATATGTAAAGCACTCATGATTGAAAGGTTGTGATTGCCCCTACTCACCATTTGTCATAATTCTCGTCAACTACCGCACCCTGCTCAAGTTAAAATTTAGTGACTTTATTGTTAAAATTAAAAGTTACTATAAAGTCACTAAATTTACACTAGAGCAGGGTGCGGTAGTTGACGCGAATTATGACAAATGGCGAGTAAGGACAATGGCAACCTTCCGATTTTCTGTTTAAGGGCCATAATGTATGTTTCGCGAACGAGATGAATGCGTTAGAAAAGGGCAGAGATATATTTGTGTCCTTTTTTTTATCATATGAGTAAATTTAGTGTCTCTTTTACTCTTGTACGTTACCATGACAACTGACAGGGCTGAAAAAACTTGTACAAGAAATAAAAATTATAACCAATTCAAATTTGAACGTTATTCATTTATGTCACATTCATATTAAGATATAAGTGAAAGTTAGGCTGAATTCACAATTGTTCCTTTGAAAATTCGATCAAATTCGAATTCGAGACTATTGAATTTTAGCCAATATACAATTTGTATAAATTGAAATCTATTGACAAGTTCAAATTATACGTTTGTAAATTAGACCCTATTATCATTAGGTTAGGTCACGTCCTAGACTTAAGGTGCTTATATACCTCAAATTTCGATCAGATGAACATTATTTCTGGACCGTGAAAATGCGTGAAAAGTCATTTTCACGGCGGGTATTTTTGAATTGTTTTAAACAAAAAATGTTTTTTTAAGAAATATAATATTAAATAATTGTTTTAATATGTAAGAACACTTTAAAATAGTGATAGAGAGATGATTTGATTAAAAAATTTAGCAAATTTCGCTTTAAAACGTTTTTTGCTACAAGAAAGTGTAAAATGACGATGTTTGTGAAATGGTTTGTACAGTGCTTCTTCCTTGTGAGTGTCTCTCAGAGTTTTGTTTATGTTATGTCGTTTCTTTTTAACTTGTAATAAATAATGAGTGCTGAAAATAAATCGGTAAGTTGAAATGTTTATCAAATAAATTTAAATTCTACTAATTGTTTCGAATAACTGAAAGAAACATGTACACATGTACACTGTACAAACCATTTCACAAACATCGTCATTTTACACTTTCTTGTAGCAGAAACGTTTTAAAGCAAAATTTGCTAAATTTTTCAATCAAATCATCTTTCTATCACTATTTTAAAGTGTTCTTACATATTAAAACAATTATTTAATATTATATTTCTTAAAAAAACATTTTTTGTTTAAAACAATTCAAAAATACCCGCCGTGAAAATCACTTTTCACGCATTTTCACGGCCCAGAAATAATGTTCATCTGATCGAAATTTGAGGTATATAAGCACCTTTAAAGGAAGTATATTTCCGTTAGATCCATGAAATAGTCAATGAGCTGAATTCTTGTACTTTATTATCCGCTTAAAAGCGGGCAATGAATTTAAATTCAAATTAAATTTGAGTCTTATTTTATTATCTATTATAAATAATAAATAAATTGTAGGATATTAAATAAATAAACACTTATTTGATTGGAAAAACCTCTTTCGAGTTCCCTGGAAAATTTTACTAGAAGCAGACGCCAGACATCACAGGTTATTTTACAATCCTTTCTTTAAAAAAACAGTGGTGCACTGAACTCGATAAATCTCGAAATAAGGAACTCGAAAAATATCGAAATAAGGAATGAGCATTGAGAATGTGAAATCTTAATAGAAAGGCGAAACGTATACCAAGATTAGAAATGTGTAGGTGGAGCTGCAGTCGCTTCTTTCATAAATGAAAAATAAGCGCTATTATTTGAATTTATCAGCTTATTTGTTTCTGAATACGTCAAAATTATTTAGATTAATTGATAGTTTTAAATCAACAGATTGAAATGAAAAATTAATCATTTCAATATAATTTAATATATTGCGTTTTTGTTCATTATTCATTAAAAAGATAATATCAAAATTATTATTACTCTTCCTATGACAAATGAATTAAAAAATAACTCTATAATAATTTAAATTTTTTAATTTTTCAAAATAATAATTTCATTAAATAAAATTTTTAAAATATAAATAAATTGAAATATAATTTTTTCATTAATTTTGCATGCGAAGAATTATGAATATTAATAATTAAGTTTGATTTAACAATTGAATAAATAGCTCACAAAATTTCAAAATGAATCAATAGTCATTTTTTTGTAAAAAAAAGAGTTGATTTTACAAGTTGAAAATGAAAAAAATAAAATAAAATTGAAAAATAAATTAATTTTATGGTTCATTCAATTCAATTTAAAAATTGATTTAATTGAAGTTGGAGATCCATTTTTTTTTTGAAAATATATAAAGATATTAAACAATTTTTCATGAATAGAAAATATAATTACAAATTAATTGCATAAAAATTGAATTGATTATTTAAAATTTATTATATAATATATATTATTCAAGTTGGAAATTATATTAGAAGGTAAATTATTATTTTCATTAATTAAAAAATTTGAAAATCAACTTAAATTCAATATTTTGAAATTAAGAATGGGAGCAGGCGGCGCTAGTTATGGGAAAAGTATACACCTATGCATCTATGGATTATGCTTTACACCTTAAAGGCCAACGCACAATAATTCACAAAACTATTGTGCGTTGGGCTTAACTTTCGCGAAGTTATTCTGCTAGTTTAAGTGACTGTTGGTGTTGCTGTTGTGTTATTAATATGTATATTTAAAAATATCGTCAAGTAGTGATATATTTTTGAAGATAATTTAAATAATATAAACATTCATAATTTTTATATTAAAAATCGATTGAAATATTAAAACGTTTCGGTGTACACTTTGAAAATAATAAGTCGAGCATATAATTTTAATGATTAGACCTGGCTGGATGACACGAGTAACGATCATAAAATGAATTATATTGATTCACCACAATGCTTTATACGTTTATATTAGTTATTTTTTTTAAATCAAATTACAAACGGTGTATATAACAAGTTTCAATTACGAGATGCATGACCGAATGTTGTCAACCGATTGAGGTTAATGAATTTATTGAATTTGAATTTCAAAAGCTCTCGAAAATTTATTCAACAAATATATAAAATGTATCCACAATGACATATATAGGTATGTGGAAAACCTTGTTAAGAAACACCTCCATGAAGTTGGCGCCAACTTCATGGAGGTTAAGAAACTCTAATTTTTTAATAATTGTTATTTTACTATATGCAGTCATATATAACAAAAAAAAATGTTTCCATGAAACCTAATTTAAATCTATAATAAAATGGTGATAATTTGATTTTTGAATTTTAAAATATATATGTATATACACATATCTCAAAAGTAAATTTAAAAGCGTACTTTGTAAATGGAACTCGTTGAATTGTCATGTGGAATTAATGGAATTCAAATTTTTCACATGCGAGTTTTATAGGTTATGTTCGGACATAGTCGTTACGAGAAAAGGACATACCTGTAGCTAGTATTGTGTATACCATCGATTTCAATTTTATGACCTCGTAAATTTATTGTGGACCACACAGTGCATCATAACCGAAACGGCTGACTTTGAAAGCGTTTTCTTCAACGCAATCCCTCTCTAGCGAGCCTTTAGTGCGCCAACAGGGGCCAAAAAGAAAGAACGACGACAAGAGAAAAACAATATTTTATTCGTCTTTTCTACCAAGCAAATTCACTGTTGCATCTTATAGAGGCACTTGGACGAGAATCAAGAGTAAAGAAAGTAGATTGGCTTTTTATGGAAAATTCACATTTACTTGGATGGGCCGAAAACAAGGAAAATTGATTATTTATTGCCCAAATGCGGAAAAGTGGTTTATATGCTCTTCGAAATGAATAATATATCGCAGTTACGTTGATCGAATGCCATACATCATATATTTGATTTATTTTCAACCAACACTGAGAAAAAATGTTTAGTCAGAGCAACCAAAATTTTGTTGGTATTTAAGCAACCAAACCAATTTGTTTGAATCAACCAAAAAAATTGGTTGAGTGTTTTTTGTTGGCATAACAAAAATGTTTGGTTTGCTCAACCAAATTTTTTTTTGTTAGGTCAACAAAAATGTTTGGTTGATCAAACAAACAGTTTTTTTTGTAAAATTCAAAATTTTATTCTACCTTCTTTCTTTTTATCTTTTTATTTATTTCATTATTTATTTATTATCAATTTAACATTGAATTTATATTTATCCAATTGAAATATTTGTGGACTTTGAAAAATCTCATCTCCGCCTGGGATCGAACCTCTGTTTTAAAACTGAAGATCGGGAGCTCTGACCACTGGACTACCCATCCTTTTGGGAGATTTAAACTAACTGTTCTTTTAAGCTATGAGCTGAGAGCGAATCAAATTAATTGGTTGTCGCAACCAAATTTTGGTTAGGACAATAAACGATCATTTGGTTTTTTAGACCAAACTATTTTATTGTGTTAACCAAATTATTTTGTTGTAACCAAATTTTTGGTTGAGATAACTCTACGAATTTGTTTCAGCCAACCAAAATTTGGTTACAAGGAACCAAAATTGCCTAACCAAACAATAATTTTGTCGCAAACACTAAATTTTTTTCTCAGTGAACTAATTTATAAATTCATAATCATAATTATCATTCTTCTGTTTTGTTTAAATTATTTTGCTACATGTATATGAGGCAAAATTCCTGAAATGTCCGAACAAAAAATTAAAAGTTCTCGAATTTAATCCATACTTTTCTAAAATGTTGTTATTGTTGGTGAAAGTCTAAAAATCAATTATTATTGAATTTAATAAAATAGTTTTTGAATTACAACGTTTTTAATTTTTGACTTTTGAAAAAAAAAATTTTTTTCAATGTACAATATTTATAAGTAGAATGCATAAAAGTTAACATATATATAATGATTTTTAAAGCTTTTTTGACGAGCTACACGCTGTTAATAAAATTTTTTTTTTAAATAACATTTGACCTTGAAATTCAAGGTCAAAATGTTAATTTACGTTTATCTCAAAATCGGATTTTTTAAAATTATTTTTAACTATCCTAATGGAAAGCTCGACTAATTTCCTACAAAACATGTAATTTTCAGAGTGGGATCTTTTAAACTTTTTGGAATATTAATTAATTAATTAATTAATTAATTAATGTTTATAACAAATCAAATATTTTACAAACGAATAAAGTTACCGTAATTCTGAAGTTAGTAATTGAAAGTTAACGTAATTCCGCATCCAACGAGCCCTATATGAAGTATTTTGGATAAGTAGATTCTTAATAAACAATTAGTTAACATTGCAATTGTTTATTAACAATCTACTTATCCAAAATACATCATATAGGGCTCGTTGGACGCGGAATTACCTTAACTTTCAATTACTAACTTCAGAATTACCATAACTTTATTTGTTTGTAAAATATTTCATTTGTTATAAACATTAATTAATTAATTAATTAATATCTCAAAAACTTTAAAAGATCCCACTCTGAAAATTACATGTTTTGTAGGAAATTAGTCAAGCTTTCCATTGAGATAGTTAAAAATAATTTTAAAAAATCCGATTTTGAGATAAACGTAAATTAACATTTTGACCTTGAATTTCAAGGTCAAATGTTATTTAAAAAAAAATTTTATTAACAGCGTGTAGCTCGTCAAAAAAGCTTTAAAAATCATTATATATATGTTAACTTTTATGCATTCTACTTATAAATATTGTACATTGAAAAAATTTTTTTTTTTCAAAAGTCAAAAATTAAAAACGTTGTAATTCAAAAACTATTTTATTGAATTCAATAATAATTGATTTTTAGACTTTCACCAACAATAACAACATTTTAGAAATGTATGGATTAAATTCGAGAACTTTTAATTTTTTGTTCGGACATTTCAGGAATTTTGCCTCATATGTAATTGATAAATTTGATAATAATTTTTCATTTGATAGATACAGTGCCAAGACAAAGGGTTACATTGGAGAAAAAGGATTTTAGACTAGGATTTAAGACTGAAATATTCGAAAAAGCGAAACAGTGGCTTAGCATCGTCGAGGATTACGTACATGGTTTGGAAAAGATAGGTTATGTGGATGAATGGAGAAGGAAGGATGAAGATGGGACAAAAGGATCTAACGGGATGGGAGAGGGAACAGTATCGTCCTTTCGTCAGTCCTCTGAAAAATAAGCTTTACCCCCCATCCCCCGTATCTTCTCATACAATCTTTCTCTCCGGCACAATTTCCCGCGCACAAAAGCTTTTTCGCGAATCGCGCAGAAGCACAATCGCGGAATCCAATTTAATAATAGTTTTCTCTCGCAAGGAATAAGCGCAATCGAAATCGACGAGAGAACTCGGATCTGGAGAAAGAAACTCGAGATTCTTTAACCCTCATTTTTCTTTTTCGATAGATATGTCAACCTATATATATATATATATATACTTGCTTCTCCAAAAAGAACACACGAAATAATTTCTTAAAATGACAATGATTTTCGCGATACACGCAATGATAAAAAATTTATTTGATTCAATTAATTCAAATTAATTGAAAAATAATTGCTTGGATCAAATATTTTTTATTAACGCGCCGATCACATGCGGTGCGGGTTCTCAAAAGGCCCAGGTACTGGAGTTATACAATGATCATTTTGCTGGATAAACCTATGCATTTAAAAAGATTTAAAGATTTAAGTTTAAAGATTTTCATCTCAAAAACAAAAAATAATGCCAATGCTGAAAATTTAAGAAAGTCTTCATTACACTATCAATTTCATTCATCATTTTTTTCAGGGTTGAGAAAAAGGGAGAACATGTTTAAAACATAAGATTAAATTTTTTTAAAAAAATAAATTAATTATAATTTAATAATTTTTTTCATAAATTTCATTATTTTTAGAGAAAAAAAAATTTTTAACTTTTTTTTGTATGATCAAAAGAACAAAAGTTATAGGAAAAAGAAAAAAAATGTTATAACAATTTTTAATGCAAATATTTCTAAAAATATAAAAAAATTTTAAATCAAAATTTACAAATTGAATTTTTTAAAATTATTTATTTTTTTTTTTTATTAAAATATTTGGTTATTTATTGTAATTAACAATTATTTCATATACATTAATTTTATTTTATTGATTCATATAATTAATTTAATACAAATAATATATTAATTATTGTTCATAAATTATTTTTTGAAAACAACAAATATTTCGATCAAGTAAATAATTTATTTATTCGAATATATATACACCTATAAAAAAGTTTTAATTTTTGTTTTAATACTTAATTGACTTATTAGAATTTAAAAACAAACAATTATATTATTTGTATTTGCAAGTTCAGAACCATTAAGGGCATCCGGGAGAAAATAATGGTTTTGTAGATTTCTTCTCATTTGAAAAAAATAGAAAATTTTAGGTTGTAATTTTTTGGAAATAATAGAGGAAGGTACCCTGCCAGGGGCTCTTCTCGGAATTTTGCATAATCTTGATAAATAATTATTGAAAAAAATGTTTAAACATTGGCAAAAAGGGGTTTCGTTAATTACTTCTCATCTTTAAAGGATAAAGTATTTCGAGTTGGCATTTGGAGGAATAATAGAGGAAGGGTCACTGAGTGGGGCTCTTCTCCATTTTTGGAATAATATTGTGAGGAAATTATTTTATTAAAGATTTAAAGTGGAGTAATTTGTGGTAAGTTAGTTCAGCAGCGGCCACTAGCTAGAATTGGCGCCACCTTCTGGGCCACTGACACATAGATTCAATGTCTGTGTGCTCGCCTCCCCTACTGTCCCCACTTCTGTCAAAAATCCAACTTTTATAATCACGATTTTCAATACTTTTCAACAAAGTTACTTGTAAAAATGGAGATGATTCTTAATCAGCTCGCCCTCATCTAATTAATCCGACAAATCCGAACAAGATATTTCAAGTTATTTACGAGTAATATCTCGCGCGGGAAAACACTTTTAGGTTAGGGATTTTTCCCGGATGGCCTTAAGTCGAAAATTTTATTTTTTTTTTAGTAATCACTAATTAAATTTTTGCAAAATAATGATATATTTTTATATAAAATTATATATAAATAACAGATTTAATTACCATCCTTGTGTAATAACAAAATTTTAAATCCATCTTTGTATAAATTCTACTTTTCCAAAATTATTAGTTTAAATTTTTTTTAGAGAAATAACTATTTATTTTTGCCTGTTATATATATATAAATGAGTACACAAAAAAGTTTATTCAGCATAATACATAGTATGAACTAGAGAGCTATTATTAATTTATTATCAATAGGTTTTAAACTAGTTATATTTAAAAACTAATAAATATATAAAAATAAATCTCAAATATCTTTTGAAATTTTAGATTCATAATTAACGCTTACAGAATAAATTCAAAGTATTTATTTTAAAATTAAGTAAACGGAAAAAAGGCCACGATTTACCAACTGCGGTTAATGTAGGTATTTATCATAGCATCAGTCGGTAAAGAAGAAAAATAAAAACTACATTCGATAATGTACGAATCTATCTTATTTTTTAAGGTGGGAATAGTTAAGCAATTTTGCTCTTTACTTGAACTAAAAAAAAATTTTGTTTTAATACAATTAAATTCCTTATTAAGTCTTAAAAATTATAAAAGAAACTTTTCTTCTTTGCCTCAGATGCAAGAATAGTTGATAAAAATTTAATAATAGATTAAATATATTCTAATCATAATCCTAGGGCTCTTTTTTTTTCTAATAAATAATCATCGATATTTTTTTTCACTGCGAAGTATCGACTTGAAGAAACATAAAGTGGGTTTTAATGAAAATAAATCATAATTTATTAACTTTGAGAAATTGAGAGTAGACGTTTTAAAATGTACTGAAGGGAGGGGAAGGGATTTTTCTCCCAGATCGCTCCGATGGTCTTCGATTTTTTCTTGGTTCTTTCACGAAAATGGAGCGACATTTAATACAAGTCTTGGCGGCAGATGTAGCGCGGCATGGTGCTAATTTAAAATCCATCAGAGCAGTACTATATATATACCTGGTCGAATCCGCTCATCATTCTGTTTAGGTTTAATACGAAAATAATGCCTTAATCACGAGCAACCTTCTCTTTACATGTACGATCTTCACTTCTATATAGTATTTGTTGAAAGATTTACCAAAGATTTATACCAGCAGTGAAATTGAATTTTAAGTATTAAAATAAAATGCTTAAAAGTATCAAATTGATACTAAAAGTATGAAATTATTCCAAATTTTCATAACTATTTGATATACTTTTAGCGTCTATTTGATACTTTTAAATTAATAGTGATGCTGTTATTTTTGTCATACAATTTGGAATTAGAGTAATAGCATTGCAAATATTATATTTTAATACCTCACGCAATTTATTACAATAATATCATTAAATATTACGCGCATATGAAAATATTTAATGCAATTATTTTTTAAAATAATTTCATTAATTATTATTAATAATGTTATTTTTAATGAATATTTACCGAATAAGAAACGTTCGAATTAAATGATCAAAAGGATTTAAAAATGTCTGACTAAACATTGACTTAAACTACTTAAAATTTCGCCACAGTCTGAATACTAGTTTTTATTATAAGCTCAATGCAAGCAATATTATATATAATCTTTACAATTGTCGCTTTTATTGACCTTTTTCCTTCTTTAGTGAATTATTATTTGAAAATTAAAACTATTTTCAGTAAATCATGTTTCCTGCATCAGAATTTTAAAATTAGAAGTATACGGTTACAAAAGGAAATTAAATTGTATAGATAGAAGAGAAAAGAATTTACAATTGGACTTTTGTCGTGCTCATAAGACATTCTATATTGTTTTTAAGCTGTCTATGTTCTTTGGTGGCGCAGATCCAACGACCTTTAGTTATTGGTGTTATAAAGAAGACGCAAGCAATATTCGAAGACCCTATTCTCTGCAAACGCATTCAAGATACATGTTAGATATGTATGTTTTTGTAGCCAATATAGAGACCATTTTCTCAAATGCCAATAGCTTTGATTCTTTGATTTCGATATAAGAAAACGACATTCTATTTGATGATAATTAAGTTTTGAATACTCTCGTAATGACAGTTATAAACTTATTGGGAATTATTATTAAGCTATATCTATACTTTCTAAATCTGAATAAGTCACTTGTGACTAATTCAACTGCGCCGATTTGTTTATTAAATAAATTAGTTGCCTTTTAACTAATTTTTAGTCAAAAGTAACTAATTCAGATTTAGAGAGTAAATTAATGTTATGTTAACCTACTGTATTGTTGGTATAACCGGTACAACCAAACGAATGACTAAAGTAATATCCGTATGGTTAAAACAACCCAACACTATCCCGTGCAGAAATTATGGTCTGGGCCTCTCAAGGCCCTTCCCAGTACGCCTGAATTCTGGCAAGGGCCTGACATGGCAAACTGGCAAGGCCCTAGTAATGGCTTGAGACGGTTTTGCAAGGATTTGCCCTACTTAGGGATGAACTTGCCAGGGCCATGAGAGTTTTCCTGGGAATTACCCTATATTTTGTGACAAAAATAAGCATTCAGTGAAAAATGTACTACAGGCTTATAATCAGTTGTAATGAGTAATTGATTGAATCAGTAAGCAACAAAAACTTGTAACAAAACAAAAACAGAAGAATGCACAATTCTTGCCTGCACGGAAAGAAATTTAGTAGCAATATTTGATAAATCTGATAGGAAATTTTAGTATTCTCTTTTTCAAACGCGGAACATTTGGGTTTGATAACGAAAATCGGTATATTTTTACCAATAGTCTTTTTAGTAAATATATTCCAGAAATTGAAATTATTATTTCGTAAATTGATAAATTTATACGAAAAACCAGAAGTAAGTTAAATTGACGCGCACTTCGTTATTTACTAAATTTATATGAAAATTTGGAAAGATTATTTCGAAATTTGTTAAAACTATACTAAAAATTCGAAGTGGTTCAGTTGTGACATATGACAACAGAAACACCAACAGATTCTACGCCAAAGTTTTATCTCTTTCTGATCTCGAGGATAGACGAGGATATGAACTTATAAATGCACACACACATACACCTCATTGTTTTACATCGATTGGCTTATTTTTATTCCTAACCTATACTAACGATAATACGTATAACATTCGCAAAATAACGCTTCATATACAAATTTACGCTCATGTGAAAAACTGATGTGACCATTCTTATATACTAACCAGACACATTTTTCACCGCTTATGAGAAAGGTGAAATTATATCAAAACATGTTTAAAAATATAAATAAAAATCATTATTTATTGGGAAATAATTAAATATTTTATTATTTTTTGAAGAACAATTTTTTTACTGATTTATTGTAAAATCTTCGAAATTAATTATATAAAAGAAATTCAGGTCTGTATCAAGATAATAGTAAAAAGGGGCTTGTCTAAAGAGCTTCGTCAGTCTTCGTTACCACTCGGTGAGGATCGGGTAATTCCGAACGTTCAACTTCGGCAAATTTCGTCGAATCTCGTTAACTTTGATATTTCTTTTTCAATTTTCATATCAAATATATCAAAATCTGAAATAATTATATCATTTTATAGAATTCTAATTACGAAATTTGAAATATTTGGTTAGAAAA